TCGCGCATTTATAGTGTGGCAGAAGTTCTCTATATTTAGTTTTATTTTCCATTCCGGCAAACCTAAAAATTTTGTAACATTCATAACCATATATCATGTGTCCATAAAATATGACCATATATCCTGTTGGATCCTCATTTCGACATTTAATTAATTATTTTTAAAATATTATTTTCAAATATTTATTGACCCCAAAATGTGCTGTAAATGTTTGTTATCTATTTTCCCATTTTAAATATTCAAAACATTCCCTCAAAACAAACATTTACTTTGATCTTAAAACTTCCTCTCATTTACTTTAAATAATTTATTTTCTTATCTATGTTTTACAACTTTCTCGTCTGACCTACTTCCGCCCATTTGCTTACCCTATAAATACTTGTTTGTCATTTTACCTTTCAAGCTCGTCTTGATCAAACTTGCTCCCCAAATTTAACCCCAACTTATTTAAATAAACTTTATTAAACTTGTATAATTAATTGTTGAGTATTGTTTGAGTTCGGATTATTTGAGTGTTTAAAAGAAGATATTTAATTTATTACTTATTAGAAGAACCGGGATATAACACTGGTGCCACGAACCCGTTGCGAATTAAAACGGAGATTAATTTTGAAAAAAAATTAATTTAAATTTTTTTGAAGTGACTTTATTTGAGGAATTTAGAAGAAGAAAAAGAAATTTTTGAGTGAAAAATTGATTAAAAAAAGAAGAGAAAAAAGATTATAGTGCAAAAAAAAAGACGAATTTTAGTAAAAAAAGAGACTGTATTGAAAAAAGTAGAAGAAGAAAAATTTAAAGAGAAGATTAAATTAAAAGAAGAATTGGTCTGGATAACAAAAAGTTAAAAAAAAAAAAAGAAATTAGATTGAAAAAAAGAAGTGATAAATAGTGAAAGTGATTTGGGAAAAAATATTTTTGATTAAAATTTGAAGAAGAAAAAAAATGTCAGGTTCTGATTTTGCGGCTGAGTTTTTCAGTGACGAAGAAAATAAGGCATTTGATAAGATTTTAAGACAACTTCGCTCCTTTGAGCGCTCCGTGGCTCAAAGCTTTCGCCACGTTGAAGAAAGATTAGATTCCATTGAGGAAAGTGTAAAAAAGGATAAGGATAGCCTTTCAGGAACAAAAGGCTCAATAACGAAATTACGTAAAAATGTGACAGACCTTCAAACGAATTTTGAAGAGACAATGAATACAATTGTTAAATTAGGAAAGAACTATAAAAATAAAAGATATGAAAATTTTGAGGAGGAGGAAGACAGTTCTGAAGACGAATCGGATATAAGCATTCGTGATGCGAATGAGACTGATAATAATGATACTAGAGATAATAGAGAAGCTTATGTTACTGACCCATTTATAGGAAATGGAGCATTTGTGGTGGGTACATTTGACGGAAATCCCACAGTATCTTTCAATAAATGGATAGAAAAATTTAAAGACGTGTTGTCACTAATGACGGAGCCTACTGAAGGGCAGAAATTATTACGTTTACGCTTTTGTTTAGCGGGTCAAGCCCGAATAGCGTTTGATGAAATAGACCCGCAACCTAATACGTTGGCGGAGGCAATTAATATTTTAAAAAGAAAATATGAGAGCGGCAATAGTAAAATAATTGCTCGTCAAAAATTATCAAATTGTAGACAAGCTCCAGGCGAATCAGTATTTGAATTCGCAAATCGTCTATCGGATACTGTCCGAACTGCCCTCTCAGGTGAAGAGGAAGAAACCATTAAAAAACGAATTTTAGACGAATTCCTGGATAGACTTTTACCGGATTTACAATTCGAGGTTAAAGCGCAAAGGCCGCTAGAATATGATAATGCGTACGAAATAGCACTGAATTATGAATTGCTGCTTAAAGCAAGAAAAGATAGCTATAATAATATTTTTGCTGCAAATCTAGCAGAAAAAGTAGAAGCATTGACTATTCAAAGTAATATTCAGAATAATAAAAAGAAAAAAATTATCTGCTTTAATTGCAAGAAAAGAGGTCACTTTGCTAGGAACTGCTATTTCCTTAAGCCTGATTACAATCAGAGAAATTACAGACCCCAACACTATGGGAGATTTACTAGTCAATTAGGACATAATAGTCAAAGTTATAGTAGAAATTATAATAATTTTAACGAGAATAGACCTTATAGAGATGAAAATTATAATAATAGATCAAACAATAAAAGAAGAAATTATAAATGTTACGATAGCTCAAGTAGCCTAGATAGCCACTCAAGTAGCAGTGAGCGAGAAAATAATTCGCCAGAACAAGGATCAAATAATCACTATAATCGATCGCCAGATCGAAGAATTAAATTTGAGAGAAATCGAAGTCCTAGAATTGGGACTTTTAGCCCATATATGCTTGTAATTCTCGCATTATTCTGTTTAACAGGATCAGCTTTGAGTTGCTTTAATGATGCATCCATTCCAATATGGAGATTACCAAATGATCCGATATTCCCTAAATTTACTATAGGAGATATTAATATATTAAAAAATAAAACTCCTGCTTTTGAAAATGAATATGCGAAAACGGAGGTAAATAAATGCAGAGGCTTTTTTGACACCTATATACAGAGAGATGAGACAGTAAACCAATTTAGGATATTAGTCTTTAGCTGTTTTGTTACAGTTCTATTTGTATTAAAATTTGTTTTACGTTCGATCTTAGCAGGCCCAATAAATTATTTAAATATTGGAGAAGCAATATATAGTAGAATAAAGAGTTATAGAAAGTTAAATAAAAGAATGAAATGTATTAGACAAATTAAGAACAAAATTAAATCAAATAAAAGTGAGTTAAAAGAGAATAAAATATCACTTTCTAAAAGATGGCCCTCTAGGAATAAAATTGTAAGAGGAGATTTAAATAAAAATAGACAAAATAATATTAGAATTTGCGTTGCGGAAAATACCCAGTGTGACAAAAATTCCAGAATATTAACTAAAATTAACGGAATAACGACCATATGTTTACTAGACACTGGAGCGCACACATCAATTATTAGTAATTCCAATGCCAAGAAAATTGGTCTAAAAGATATGTCCGCTGCAAATTTTCCAGCAGTTTACGGTATTGGCAATAAATTAGTACCGACTCTAGGTCAGGCTACAGTCGAGTTAGAAATTGCTGAGTGCAAAATTCAAACAAATTTTGTAATTATTAAGGATACCGAGAGAAAGAATCAAACATATAGCGCCATTATTGGTAGAGAAACATTAAGTTGCTTACCCCTTATGTTGAATTTTACCAACTGGGAGCTTATTAAAATTCCGATTGAGTATAAATTAATTAGTTGCAGAGAATTAGATAAAATATCAAGAATGCTAGATGATCTAAAGACCAAAAAGTCTGAAAAAGAGAATATAATATGTCATTATTGCAAGAAAAAAGGGCATATTGCCAGTATCTGTTTTTACCGTAATCCGGATTATAATCCGAGAGGAAATCGCTTTCAAAATAATGTTGAAAGGGAAAGCGGATCTCTTAAAATAGCGCATAATGACCAACATAGGTTGAGAATTTCGCAGCTCCCGTCCAGTCAAAAATGACTGAGATTTTAGAAATAAAGTTGTAAAAAAAAATTAGTTTATTTAATCGCATTTATCAATTATTGAAAACTTATATTTTGTTATCCTTCCTTATCTTTATACCCCCTAATATTAATTTATATTTTGTAATTTTTCTTTGTAATTGTAATTTATTTAAATGGCGAATGATGAGATTTGGATTTGCAACAAAAAGTAGATAAACAACAAACAACAACATCCCCAAAATGAATGAAGAATAATTCAAAAATTAAAAATTGACTTCTAATAGCTTCATCAAACTACCTCTTTTTCAGGAGAGATAAAAAAAATTGAACATATAATATGTGAAACGGTTAAAAGAACTATAGGTTTATTAAAATCCCGCGAACTTTGCGGAGAAGGAAATAATAATATCTGATAAAATGAGCCCCAAATGGAGATGAAATGGATGTGCGTAATTTGTGCATCTTCCACCTCTTACGTTAAAACAAGTGTTAGAGAGGCCAAGAATTGGCTGATAACCGTTTTCGTCATAAGACCCATGTTTGTGGAGAATATAATTGATGGATAATGTAAACAAAAAAAAAATATGGACATCAATTCTCTAAAGGGGAAAGGAGTGTTGGATACCTGTCTCAACAATTAGGCGAATATTTTTCTAAAGGGGAAAGGAGTGTTGGATCCTCATTTCGACATTTAATTAATTATTTTTAAAATATTATTTTCAAATATTTATTGACCCCAAAATGTGCTGTAAATGTTTGTTATCTATTTTCCCATTTTAAATATTCAAAACATTCCCTCAAAACAAACATTTACTTTGATCTTAAAACTTCCTCTCATTTACTTTAAATAATTTATTTTCTTATCTATGTTTTACAACTTTCTCGTCTGACCTACTTCCGCCCATTTGCTTACCCTATAAATACTTGTTTGTCATTTTACCTTTCAAGCTCGTCTTGATCAAACTTGCTCCCCAAATTTAACCCCAACTTATTTAAATAAACTTTATTAAACTTGTATAATTAATTGTTGAGTATTGTTTGAGTTCGGATTATTTGAGTGTTTAAAAGAAGATATTTAATTTATTACTTATTAGAAGAACCGGGATATAACATATCCCATCAAACAAAAAATTCTAAGTCAAATCTGACTATTAGTGTTAAGATTATAACAACAACAAAATGCCTATCAATAATTTAGAAAAGAGATATTTAATATCAATTAGTATAGGATGTATCAATTTAGTATAGGACTTTTATTTTTTATAGAATATTTTAAAAAATGCTATTTAAAGAATTTATTTATATTTTATTTGTTAATTATGTTTTTGCCGAGCAGGAAGATAACCTTAAGACTAATGATGGACAGTATGTCATATTTTTGTATAACTTTTATCCAGTTTTTGTGTCAAATATATGCCCGCTCCATCATTAGGAGCGGGTTGAGCCATGTTATTATTATTTTATGGTGCGACTCAGGTCATGCCGATTTGGTTTGATTTGACATATCTTTCGAGCTAGGTAGAATACTACAAAAGCGGTTTTCAATGCCTTATTTTTAGATATAATTTCAACACACAAGAGGTATGAGCCGGGTTGAGAAAATGTGTGATTGGGGTTCGGCTCGAAAAAAGGCCGGGCTTTGTATATCAGCCCAACGCGAACATAGACCTTATGTGTTATCTAGCTTTAAATCCTCGCAATTCTTTCAAGGAATAATCATTAAATTAAGTGTTTTTCTGACCGACATGTCAACTATACATTATAAAATTCCATATTTAATTACGGATCAATGTATGACACGACCTGAACAAAAAGAACATGGCTCTTATGGACTAATCTTCGAGAGACATTTTTCTCATCTATGTGACGAGTAAATAATTAATATATAAACTACTATAATAAAAATTTTTGTTCAGGAGTTGATATCCTTAACTCTCGGGGCGAATATGAATCAAATATCAAGGGATTTTCAAGATCCGGCAACCATATTCACTGACAAATAGGGGGATTCTAAATAACGTACAAATAGAGAATCCATTCAAATTTTTCCCTCAATATCCTCCCCATTACGTCCCTTGATATCCCCGATATTCTTCCAATCTTGCATACTCATTAATTCTACAGACCCTAAAGGACAGGATTTGAATGTATATTTTGAATAAATATTATATTTAGATTGTTAATTTGTTATCCTAGCCAGCTGAGCGGCAATAATACTCGCAACGGCATTATCCCATCAATTCCCTACCGTCTTCGTGAAGGAAAAAAGGTTAATAAACTAGTCCTTATATTATTATAAACTTCGAGATATTTTTACTATGGTTGGCGATCTCGGGCATCTCAAACCAAAAAATCGGATATCCGAAAATTTTTGGGTGGGTCCGGTGTAGGCGGGTTGTAGGCGGTTGTATAATCGGTTGCCAATCTTAACTTAATTATCATTATAAATAATTCTTAATTTTAAAAGAATAATGTCACCATTAAATGTGAACAAAAACGTAAAGAATTCTGTAAGGAAGCAAAAAACGAAAATTTGTGTTCTACGGGTAAGCCTGCCTCTACTATTTGGCATGGAATTCTGATTACAACTGAACAATTAATAACTTTCAAGTATAGCGATTCTGATTACGATTACGATTTTTTAACTACAATTTCGTTATCAATTACGAAACAAAGGTGATATTTTGCGAATTAGTAAGCTAAATCCTTATGTTATCTAATAGTATTATATCATCTGCCCTAATTTAAAAAATTAAAAAATTTTATCAACCTTTCTTCAAGTTTTTTTATTCACTTCTCTGCATAAGACTAATCATTCTTTCTATCTGTTATTTCTACATATTTGTGTGATGAACCAATAGCATCAATAATTTAAAAATTTTAGATATGAATTAATTGGGATTGAAATAATCAACTTAGAATTTGGCCGTAAAGAGGGTATAATCACAAAAGTCCATTTACAGAACAATGGTGAATGAAAATAATTTATTATAATTCTTGAAAAATCACAATTTTCGACAGGCGTCCCATAGAAGTTAAGCTATACCCAAACCTTGAGAATAACCAGTCATTTAAAGCTCTTACCAAAATTCGTACTCATATCTGTGCCTGAAATACGAGGTATCAGAAAAAATAAGTATTTACGAGCACGAGAGCCTGTACAATCATGAGAGCCTGTACAAGTATTAGAAAATTCCAAACATTGTTCGTGAAGCTAAATTTGATAAATTCGTTTTAATTTAGCATTATTTCATATTTCGTTATTTATAAGTATTATAAATTAAATTTAGAAAAAGGAATTTTCCTTGGCAATGACTCTGATCTTTATAATGAATTTACTTCCAAAGTTGAGCAAGGTGCATATCTTCATAAATATGCTGGCCTTTGGGCTCTTGGATTAGATTTGTTACCAACATCTGCACAATCTTTTTTACATTTATTTGTTTATAGAGGATGTGTTTGTTCAATTAATGCATGGGTAAATTTTTGACATATTGTTTTTCATTGTCATGTTCCTAAATTGCTAAAAACATTGTACATTATTCGAGGAGTATTCTTAATGCTAAGACATTCCTGGGTCTGTTTCAAAGACGGGGAAAATTTTGAGAATTTCTGAGGGCCATATTTTGGACAAAATCGTTCGTTAGTATAATGCTTAATAATCGTCAGAAATCAAAAATTTTCTTAAAATTTCGTAAGTTCGAAGAAAAATGCCGGTAATCAGAATTTAGCTCAATACCTAAATGGGGAAATGTAAATAAATGGGAGGAGGGGGGGGGGGGGGGAATGTAATTGGGAAATGTAATGAAGGAGTAAATAAAAAGTCTGGATGGTGGAAGTAGAATCCGTGTAACGTCTTTAGAATATCACGACCCATCCATTGTATACGCAACCCTTGCAAGGTTGCACATATCGTTTGACCATTACATTAAATGTATATTTGTATATTTAGTTCAAAGCTCCAACAACTCCAAAGGTTTTAATTCCAGCAATTCCTAAAAGATTGGGGAGAAATAAAAAAAATTGTTCTACAAGGTATACTAATAATGCTCTTCACATATTGGGACCTGTGAGCGATGGAGACAAAATGGTTAAGTTTACATTATGGATGAATAACTTGGGAAGGAATGGCAAAATTGAATTCACTGATTCTACTGGTATTTTTCTAAAAATAGAATTTGTTGGCAAGGAAATAATATTTCATAATATGGTAGGTTTCATGCTTTTTCCAATTTAAAACTCGAATGTTTTGCTGTCCCTTATTTATGTCACGGCACAAATTTTCTCACGGCATAAATATATCTCCGCTTAAATATCAAAAATCCGCAATCTTGCTGAAAAAATCCGCATTGTATATCAAAAATCTGAAAAAAATTATAAACACAAAAATTGAATTAAGTTCACCTTATGCGTTATATCTTTTGAATCCAGCAATTGAATTGATCAATTTTTTATTATGTGCTAATGATTATCTTATGAAAATTCAAACAATTACATGAAAATTCACACAATTTTTTCGCCAAAGCGACAAAAATCTTTCTCTTCCATTGTGTAGGATCCCTAAATGAAAATGACTTTGAATATAAAAACTACAAGACAATATAAAATTTCGTCATAATCTTCAAGAGAACACGAAAATCAGCAAATCCGCAATATTAAAAATGATCCTCATTGGTCTAAGCATAAACCAAAAAATGAGGCAAAATTCGCACATCTGAGAGCCCTAATAAAATTGGCCTCCTATGGTTTTTCGATTTTCGTGGGCTGATATCTCTGCGAGTTTACGTCTCACACAAAAATTTTGGTTCTACTTGACTTTATGAGTCCAATCAAATTTTATAAATCCGAACATTTTTTATTATTCTAAGTAAAAATTTTGGCTCTACTGCAGTTTATGATTCCAATCACAGTTTATGAGTCCAATCAGATTTTTGTGCTACAGAGGTCGGTCGTCAGATCAAGGCTGAAATGGTAAAAGGGATAGGTTTATGTTACTTTTGTAGAACCCGGCAACAGTTGACTCCAGCGAAGCGCGCACCGCAAAACACAAGCGCCTCCCCTACGCTGTATAGGTTTAGCAACATAATCATATTCATTTTTAATGTATTATTTAATAAATGTATTATTTCATTAAATCTAATAAAATGTGATTGGACTTATAAAATTCCTATGGACTTATAAACTTTTCTTTGGACTCATAAAGTCAATTCGACCAAAAATAAAAATTCTTACATATTCGAACTCAGCTCGGCAAGATTTATGCTAATTTACATCCTCTAAGTTGTTAAGAACTTTGTAAATTCCTTTACCAAAAAAATGTTATATTAAAGTAAAACAAAACAAAATACGGCGAAACTAAAAATAGAAAAAAGGGAAAATGTATAAAAAATTTGATAATGCTGTGCATAAATGTGTGAACGGTCATTCTATCTTTTACAATTATAATTTAGTCTGATGTAAACCATAAGCATAAAGATGTCGGAATAAATATGTTTAATGTCGGAGCACAAATAGAATTCTCCATACGAATAAGCAATTATTATGTTTGGATATTTTTTGCCAGTGATATTTATGTATATTTTATACAAAAATTATGGCCAAAAGATTGGTGGAAAGGGAATTTTTTTAAAGAATCTGGGGTCAATATGTCATTCGATGGTGATTTTATCATAGCTTCCCCTATGCATGTTAATATTCTTACTATAGAAGAGATTATTGTATGTAATACAGTAAATTTTTTATCACAGATGCATTCTGAGTAAATAATCTACTACTTTATTGGTCACAAGAAAAAAATCAGCAAGAAAGGCTTTTTCGAAATTAGGAGGTATTACCAGTAGGCAATCGAGAGTGCTGATCCGAATTTGGGTCTAGATTTGTATATTTTAGACCCCGCGCCAATTTTTCTCGAAACAAAAAAATTCTAAGCTCAGATTCAAATTCATCACACTCAATTATCACCGGCAAACATCAAAAATGTCGAAAAAATATTTCTTTTTTATCTTTTTCTAGAAATGAATGAAGTTTTTTTCGATTTTCCAGCGCCGTAGCTTAAAAAATTTAAGCATTACGGAAGGCAAAGATCAGCACCGCAGGCGAACCTTTTTAGGTACAGTATGCACTCAAAATTCGTCATTTTAGCGTTCATAACGAATTATTTAGTATTTAAAGTGGAAAAATTTGCCGAACTGCAGTAAACCAATCTTTTTTAGATTCAAAATATTTATATGTCATTCGAAAGATCTTGCCGAGCTGAGTCGAATGACACTAAAATTATTCCGCGGACTCAACTGTGGGCCGAGATACAGCACCCTAAGTTTCGAAAAATAGTGGGGAGTAAGCTGTTTTTGGGGGTGAAACATTTAAATATGTAAATAATGACTCATTCGAAAGAGCTTGCGAGCTGAGTCGAATGACATCAAAATCAACGAAATCTGACTTGATTTGACAAAGTTATGATCGTTTATTTTGACTCTTCACATAATGTCGAGCGAAACGACGGCCGCCGATTCGCTACGGTCGCCGCGAGCGAAGCGAGCGGCCATCGTAGGCCGGGCAGTGTAGGCCGGGCCTACCCTCCGTAGCAGCACAAAAAGTTTTTCCAGAAAAGTATCTGTTGATCATAATTCGGTACTCTTGTGTTATCTCCCCCCATTTTATTTTTATTCTCCTTTCATTTTCCTTTCCCCATAAAAAGCTGATTAAAATACTGTTAAAGAATTATGGTTATAGGTACCCAACTCTGGTTTTAAGGACCAATATACATTATTTTGGTTGTGTATGGTAACTGGATGAATAGGGCCGTCTATTTCCTTAAAATATTCTGGTAATACAGTGAACATATTTTAAATAGAAGTACTGGTACACACACCAACGTTGGGGTTGGATTTCTAATTGCAAAACATGGTAACTCACGACATAGATTCATTTTGACCCATGTGTATTTTTTGAAAAATTAAAAGGGAAGAAGAACAAAATGGGGGGAGATAACACAAGAGTACCCATAATTCTGTTCAGAATCATCCAATCGAGCTGAGTTTGATGTCATTCAACTCAACACGACGAGCCCTTTCGAATGAGTTATAATTTGCATATTCGAATTTTTCACCTCAAAAAAGTGCTTGGTCCCCCGTATGATTTTTCGATTTTTGGGGACCCATATCTCGGCCCACAGTTGAGTAATAATTTTGGTGTCGTTCAACTCAGCACGACGAGCTCTTTCTTATGACATATAAATTATTCAAATCTAAAAAGGGTTGGTTTATTGCAGTCCTGCCTTAGTCCGAACAAAATACTGTAAATTAACTAATATTTCGGGTCTACGCCAGAAAACTGAAAAAAGAACAAAAAATTCATAAATATCTAGCAAATCTTAACCGGGACTTTAACTTTACCACAACTTTAATTAAATCAGTATATTTAGCCCGTCAATTATGCATATGATGTTAAAGAAATGCCATATTTATTTAATATTAATGAATGTACTAGCAACCATAGTTTTTTTCGTTTTCGTATAAAATTAAATGATGGAGCAAAAAACTTTAGTATAAAATTATTAAACGGGATGGAAGAGGAAAATCCTTATAGTAATTAGTTAAACTCTATAATTTTTTCATTATAATACATTCAAGTTGGAACAATTGTTTACCGACTAGAAGTTGATAATGATCTAAAGTCTGT